CCCCCCCCTCCTCAGGTTTGGATCTCCCCCTTCAGCAAGCTAAAAAAGAACACTACTGGTGATACCCGCCCCATCCACCCACCCACCCATATTATTCATGACAGGTCATTACATCGGAGGAAGGGGGGCGGGGCACTGCAGTACGCTGACAAAACACCTTTTTCTTATTGACAGCAGTTTTGAGAAATCAGCTTTTTTTCGTTTTTCTTATAATATCTCAACTATTTGCACAATACATCAACGATAGATCTTGCACCCTGAAGAGAAATGTCATTCATTCCCTGTGCTCGACAGAAATAATAAGAAAACCAAAAATCGTTGATTTTTCAAAACTGCTGTGAATAAGAAAAATGTGTTTTATAAGAGTACGGCGGGGCACTGGTTTGCTGGACTTTGCTGGACACTGGTCATCCCCATCTGCGTGGTGCACTTCAGTTGATGACGTCGACCGACAGGGCTGAGCCAGGTTCAAAATACTTCGTTTCTGACGGTGAGCTGCGAAGAGCAAAGTCAATGAGAAGATGCCACGTGATTTTGTCACGCCTTCCATCACGTTAGAGTGAAGTCAAGTCATTGGCACGTGACATTATCAGTGTGTGGGGGGGGGGATGTCACGTGATGTTTTTACGTCAGAGTGAAGTCAAGTAAAAGTACAGTATCTGCTCAACGTGGCGTGCGTCACGTGAATATGTAAGGCAGCGTGGTGGAATCAGGCCCTCTTCAAAATAATCAAAGTGAAGAAACTTGCATTTTTTCCGCAGGTTTTTTAATTTTTATCGAATTTTGGGTGGGGGTTTTTTTGCTCAACATGTTTCATGCCCATTAAAGAACTCATTTTTGTGTGAATTTTTCTGAAAAACGTTGATTAAAGGCACAAAAAAGTAAATTTTCAGTTACCACGGACTCTAAAGCTGAGGAAATAACTAATCTTTGGCGGTCATTTTCTTACTAATTCTACCTCTGAAAACAGATGACATCAACCTCCTTCTTTCGCAAATATCTCGACTTGTATTCAAGATAAATGGATACTTTTTTCATCCCAATAAAGACAAGTGAACAAGCTTTAAGATGATACCATTACCTCTACATGCCCAAAAATTGATGAGAGCCTGATTCCACCACGATGCCTCACATATATCCGTGCTGAAAAAACAGCTCAAAAACACTTCTCAAAATGGTCGTATTAGCTCAATCAAGAATACGTCACGTAGATACGTGTATATCAGGACGAGTTGGTGTCACGTAGATATGTCAGGATGAGCCCATATCACTTGAATATATCAGGGCGAGTACACGTCACGTGAACATATCAGTCAGAAAAGATGCCACTTTGCAACTGTGCTTGGGCTAGAACGTGTCACGTCTGGATATAAAAAACACGTGATTCTATTCATAAGTTTTGGCGATTGTTGTTTATTGACCGTGGTATTTTAATGAAGTGTGCACCGGCTGGAAACGATGACATTCTTTTACTCTGGATCGTTAAGTTGTTAAGTTCTTGTCAGCAAAAGAGGTTGAAGACACTGAATGGTTTGATTTCACCAAAAACCCCTTACCTCCCCTCCCTTCCACCCAATTCTCCCAAACACGATGGACATTTACATAAATACATTTTATGCTGACTCACTTAAATACGTCTTTGGTAATTCTAAAACTGCAGTTGTGAAGAGAGAGGCAGGAGTAAGAGACTGAGAGATTTGGCAAGAGAGAGAGAGAGAGAGAGAGAGAGAGAGAGAGGGAGAGAGAGAGAGGGAGAGAGAGAACGGGTGAAAAGGGGAGAGAGAAAGGGAGAGAGACAGACAGACAGACAGACAGACAGAGACAGAGAGGGAGAGAGAAGGAAAGAAAAGTGAGACAGAGAATTAGAGAGAAAAAAATGCAAGAAATAAAGAAAAGGAAGTGAAATGGAAAAAGGAAGTGAAATGGAAAAAGGAAGGGAATAAGAATACAAATGGAGATTAGGGGTAATGATAAATCAAACATTGTAAAGTTCACAACGCTTACTTTTTCTGGGGAAAAGTTTAATTTCCTCCTTTCATCAAATAAGTAAAAAAGCGCTTTTTGTGCATGACGTCACGGCAACCTATTTATAGCTCAACTAAGAGATGAGACCGCCGATGTGCGAACTAGGTCAAATTTATAATTAGTCCAGAATATGGAGGCTAAAGTTTACTTTAACTCTTCTAAGAAGGAATATGCACTTGACAAAAAATATTATGGTGTTGCAATCTTTTACAATCTTTTATGAGAACTTAAATGTAGAAAGAGGAGGCTTTTCTCTCTGGGAGCCTATGTGACCTTATTTGGTTTTGGTTTTGTTTTAAAAAATGTTTTTACAGCTACTGACGACGTGCTGTGAGCTTCTTGATAATTATTGCCTCAAGGGATATTAATGTTTCTTCTTTTACTATCGGCAATGGACAGACATGTTAAAATGTGTTGACATCAGAGTGTGTTAAAAAGCCTAACCACTATACCTGTCAACGTGAGAACCCTGCTATCATTATTATTGTTATTTTTATTTATTATCCTATTTA